TGCTTTTAACATAAATGTAGATTTCTTTTGAAGATAGGATTATGTTATGGGTTGTTTTCTGAAATATACTGGTCTTTTTTCCTTCTCTTTTGACTTCAACCTAATTTATCTATTTATTTCTTTATGTAATAATCAACAGCAGCTCTGGTTTTACAAGAACAAACATACATAATGCTCAGTTTTTTACATGTACATTTTACATATTTTATATTTTTAAAATTGAGAAGTGCTCTGATCAAAGACATTAGTTTAATATGAATCTGAAAACAGACTATCTCGGGTGACATTGATAGTAAATATAAATGTATTGAAAACTGTTCATCAATTCAGGAACACGTTATAAAGTAATTCTTTCAGAGATAAGTTATAAATTATAAGTATCTGCTATGTTATGATCAATATCTGAGCAGGCCTAGAGCAAGATATTCATAGCCCTACACAATAAAAATGTTATAGTACTCCACCAACTCCCTATCTGTAGTTAAAAATAATGCAAAATAAAATATGTATGTGAAATAGCAAAAAAAGAAGTATCAGTTCCCATTACGATTAATAATCCACTGCTTTACATTTTATTATGATGACCCAAGCATGTGCTTTATTAAATTCTTGATCATTCAAGCTCTGTCTGAGGGCCACTGCGGAAAAAATATGTAGCAAATGCAGTATATGAGAATATTTACCAAATTTATTATGCTTCCTTCACCTATATTTAAATCTTCTCTCTTGGCCAACCCTGGAAACTGATATATTTCTCTTCAGTAGCCAGTAGCCGACAATGAATTTGCTGGAGCTTGATGTTCCTTTATGCCATGTAGTTTCACTTTATAAATAATAATTTGGATAATTTTCCTTGCAGTAACATAAATGTGAGTGTTTAGCTTAATGCCATCAATAAAATCCTTAAATGGCCATTATGAAACTTTTTCTTGTTTAACCCGCACATTTATTCTTTCAATATCCATTGATAATTAAGAAGTCACAGAGAGCATATTTGTTTTCATATATCTCCAAAGATTCAGGAAAGGAGACTATTTTTGAATTGTCAGAGTAATGCCTTCAAAAATCTGGTCCTCCATAAAAGCAGTAAGTACACTGGTGAATATTGTCAAAACCAACTCTTCCAGAATTCTGAGAATTAACCAAATGCTTACAACAATCTGAGGAACAGTCATTCAAGAAAAAGGCTGATTCTCAATAATAACAGCAACCTAGGTAATCTTCGGTAATTACAGCAAGCTTAGAGATATTTTAACTTGCTCTCTTTCCATCCCTCCTTTGCTGTGAGTTCCATAGTATCCTTGAAAATCAGCAAACTTAGAACCACTGGAGAAGGTAGAGGGTTTAGAACTTTCCCTGAATTGTCCAAATAGTGTTTTCTCTACCTGCCTGGAAGCTCCACGGAATAGGCCAATTAACAGAGCTTGGTTTTTATTAAATCTGACTCAGTGTGAAAAACTGTATCTGCAGGACCTTTTTATAAAATAATCAGCAGCTATTGTTAAACATTGCAGCTGTTTGAGGCAGCATGAACAGTTGTGGTGCTCAAGAAGCTGGCAAAAATAAAATAAATAAAGGAAAATCTGGAGAATGATATATCCACATGGAGCTTTGAAAAGCTCTGACATATTTCTGAGAATACAGAGCATCACATGCATATACTGGGTTATGTGCTTGCCCAGTAAGACTCGAGGAGGCCCTATTCTTTCATTTCTGACAGACCTTGAGGTTCTGTACAAGCAGAAAGTGAAGGGGTAAGGCAGACTTGGAAATTGCCAGAGCATTGAAGTGTGCCCCAGCATACACCCAGAGTCTTTTGGCAAAGAGTGGGTAGGAAACTTATTGATTCAAAGCATTCAGGGAAATCTCTGACTAATCATTAATTGAGTAGAGACGTCACTAGCCATAAATGACTAAGAATACACACTTTACAGAATTAGTCCTGGAAAGTCGCTAAAAAAGCAAAGAGCCGAAGCAGTAGCAACAATCATAACAATGGCAACAACAAGCCTTGAGAAGGATCTGATTTCCAGAATGATCTAATTCTTATTTTAAATTGGAAAAGAGTAATTTTAGAACACTAAATGAGATAATCTAGATTTAATGAACACACTTCTAGAAAGACAAAACCTACTGAATCTGACTCAAGAAGAAATATAACATTTGGAAAGACTTGAAACTTGTAAGGAGGATAAATTGATAATTTTAAAACTTGCCAAAAGAAAAGCTCATGGTCATAGTGCTTCATTGCTAAATTCTACAGGATGATTTAAAAAGAAATATTGTCGATGCTTCAAAAAACTTTCCAAAAAGTCAAAAAGGAGAGAATATATAACTAATCCTGTGAGGCCAGCATTACCTTGATACCAAAGCCAGACAAAGACATCACAAGAAAAGAAAACTACAGAAAAAAATATCACTTATGAATAGACGAAGAAAATTCATCCTTAGCAAATTACCAGTAAAGCAAATCTAGCAACATATGAAAATGATTATATACCATGATCAAGTTGTATCTACCTCAAGAATGCAAAAGTTAGTTTAATACATGAAAATCAATCAATGTAATACACCACATTAACAGAATGAAAGCCAATCACATGATCATCTCAGTGCATACAGGAAAAAACATTTGACATTATCAAACAAAATTTTAGGAAAAAAAATTTAATGAACTAGGAATATAAGGGACTTTCATCAACCTAATAAAAGATGTTTACTCAAAATTCACCACTAACATCACACTTAAATGGTGATGAACTAAAGGCTTTCCACTAATACCAGAAACAAACCAAGGATGGCTACTCTTTCCATTCTATTCAACATTGCACTGAAGGTACCAGCCAGAGCAATTAGGCAAGATAAAGGAGTAAAAGCCATCTAAACTGGAAAGGAAGAAGTAAATCTATGTTTATTTTTAGATGACATAACCATGTGTGTAGAACATTCTAAAGCATCCATAGAGAAACTTTTAGAATTAGTGAACAAGTTCGCTAAGTTTTGTCACAATATCAATATATAAATATCAATTATTTTTCTATATTGGCAATGAACATTTTGACAATGAAACTGAGACAATATTTTCATTTATAATAACATCAAATATAATAAAATACTAAGAATAAATTTAACAAAGATATATATACAATTCATGAATTGGAAACTCCAAATCATTGTTATAAGCAATCCCAGACCTAAATAAATGGAAAGAGTTCCCTGTTCATGTATCAAAAGATTTAGTATTTCTAAGATTGCCGTAATCCCCAAATGAATTTAAGAATCTACACAGCTGTCAAAAATTCAGCAGCTTATTTTGCAGGAATTGGCAAGCTGATCCTAAAATTTATATGTAAGTACAAGAGACCTGGGATAGCTAAACAATCTTAAACAAAAACAAAAACTAAAGCTGAAGGATTCATACTTTGTGATTTACAAAAAAGCTTCAGTAATCAGGAAGAGTGTAGTACTGGCATACCAACAGGCTTATAGATCAATAGAATAGAATTGAGAGTCGAAAACAAACCTTCAAATTTATGGTAAATTGATTCTATTAAGGATGCCAGGACTTGGGGAAAGTATAGTCTTTTCAACAAATGTGCTGGGACAATTTGATATCTACATGCAAAAGAATGAAATTGGATTCCTGCCTGACACCATATACTAAAATTGTTGCAAAATGGAACACAGACCTTATTACAAGAGCTAAAACTTTGAAACTCTTAGAAGAAAACATAGAAATGGATCTTTATGATCGTAGGTTACGTGAAGGTTTTTTAGATATAACACTAAAAGCACAAGTGAGAAAATATGTAAAATATATCAGACTTCATCAAAATTAAAATATTTTGTATTTTAAAAGACACCAGACTGGACTGGTGGTTACCATTGGGGAAGGAGGGAGCGGGGAGGGCAAAAGGGGTGATTGGGCTCACATGTGAGGGGATGCACTATAATTAGTGTTCGCGTGGTGAACATGCTGTAATGTACAAAGAATTTGAAATATGATGTACATCTGAAAAAAAAACTGTTGGAAAAAAAAAGACACTATCAAAAAAGTGAAAGGATAAACTACAGGATGGGAGAAAATATTTGCAAGTTCTATGCCTGATAAAGGAGTTGTATCTATAATATACACACACACAAAAAAAACCTTCTTGCTTCTCAACAATAAAAAAACTTAAAAATTGTCGAAGTATTTGAACCCTCATAAACTACTTGTAGAAATGTAAAATGATGCAGCCATTTTAGAAAACAGTTTAGCAATTCATTAATAAGTTAAATATAGTGTTACTACATGACCCAGCAATTCTACTATGAAGTATGTACCCACAGTAATTGAAAACACATATCCACACAAAAGCTTGTATGTAAATATTTATGGCAGCATTATTCATAATATCACCAAAGTGGCAAAAACCCAAATGTTCATCAACTGGTGAATGGATAAACAAAATGTGGTATCTGTATAATGGGGTATTGTGGGAAGCATTCCCCCAATCTAGCTGCCATTGTATTGTGACAAGGTCTGGCAATAGAAGGAGAATCGTGCAAGGCACTTCTCCAGGGAACATAATTCTTTAAGCAGAATCCTTTGTCCTCCTTCTAAAGCCTATTACTGATTAATGTCTTCCCTCTGTCCTGGAAGCCTTGTAAAAACAGGCAGAACTGGCAATAAACATATCTCAAAAAACAAACAGCAGCCCCCAAGGATGAGGGGGTCTATATTCCATTAATTATGTACTCGCTGTCCTCCTAACTTCTTTGAAGACCCTGAAACGATGTAACCTCTTCCTAAACAATCGCTATGTATGCTGCACATCTAGTATGTAGATAACCACCTTTGATTATTACCTTTAGTCACGCACTGCCCCTCATCTCTTGTTCCCATGACGACAATAGTTAGACCACCTCGTGTGATTTTTTCCTATATAAGTGTACCCTGTCCCCGAAATAAATTGGACTTGCTTGCAACTGTGTCGAGTCTCACGTCTAGCACTTACACTTTCGCCGATGCCGTCTCTCCCGCGAGAACCTGGACTCTGCTGAGGCTGGACCCCGGCAGGGTATTAGTCAGCAATTAAAAAGGGAATGAGGTGCTAGTGAATTCTAGAACTTGTGTGAACTTTGAAAATGTTAAGAATCCACTCACCAAAATTCGTATTGCATGATTCTATTTACATGAAATTTCCAGAATAAGAAAATCTAGAGACAGAAAGTAGATTAGTGATTGCCAAGGTCTGCAGATAGAGAGGAATTGAAAGTGACAATTAATGGGTACAGGCTTTTCTGCAGTAATGAATATGATCTAACATTCAGTAGTGATGATGGCTACCCAACTATGCTAATATAATACAAACTGTTGAATTGCACAGTTTATATAAGTGCACATTTTATTTCCTCAGATATATTTTTTGTCGTAAAATATCTTAAAATAGACTTTCAGAGGAAAACATTTGAAAGAAGGGAAGAAATAATTTCTGATTTGTTTTTAGAAAATTAAAAATATGAATTTGCTGAGTTAATCAAGGAAAATGAAGTAGGAAAGCAAAAAATGTAGTTAATTGCACAAATCTTGAAACCTAACTTCAATGGCAAGGTAAGTAACTTAAACTTAGCCAGAGAATAAAAATATATTACTGTAATGGCAACCAACAAAGAACAGACTTACCGGAAGCAATGGGATGCTATTTTCAAATGTTGTGAGATAAATATTGTCAATGTAGAATTCTATGTCCAGGTAAATTAGCATTAAAAATGAGGATAAAATAAAAACACCCAGATAAAAATCTACTCAGATAAATTGCCACTAATTAGCAATTTCTGAGAAAAACTAATAAAGAATGCACTTCAAATTCAAGAAAACTTGATACAAGAAATTGAATGAGATGCATTAAAGAAAAATTGAACCAAAGAAATAGAAAGCATGTGGTAAATCCATTAAATATTTGATTGCTAACAGCATATGAATTATTATCAATAGAGTGAAAGGAGAACCCATAGAATGATAGAAAATATTTGCAAATCATCTATCTGGTAAGGAATTAGTATTCAGAATATATAAAGTACTCATACAACTCAGCAACAACAACAAAAAACTCTTCCCAAAATGTGCAAAGCTCTTAACTAGACATTTCTCCAAAGACAGTATACAAAGGGCCCATAAACATATGACAAGATGTTAAACACCACTAGTCATTAGGGAAACGCAAGTCAAAACCACAGCGAGTTACCACTTCACATCCATTAGGATGGCTCATATCAAAGAAAAAGAAAAAGAAATGTTGGCGAGAATGTGAGGAAATTGGAAACCTGATAACGTTTCTGGTGGGAATATAAAATGGTACAGCTGCTATGGAAAACAGGATGGCTGTTCCTCAAAAAGTTAAACAGAATTAGCATATGATCCATCATTTCTACTTCTAAGTATTCCCCCAAATAATTGAAAACAAGTACCCAGATACTTATACACCAATGTTTATAGCAGCATTGTTATTATTATTATTAAAAAGTGGAGACAACAAAAATGCCCATCAACAGTTGAATAGATAAATAATGTGTCACAAATCATGCTATAGAATGCTATATAGCCTTAAAAATGAAGGAAATTTTGATGCATGCTACAACATTGATGAAACTTGTAAACACTATGCTAAGTGAAAAAAGGCCGACACAAAAGAACAAATATTGTATAATTCTTATATGGGGTATCTAGAATAGGTAAATTCATAGAAAGTATAACAGAAGATACCAGGAGTTAGGGGAGAGGTGGACAAAGGGTTATTGTTTAATGGGCACAGAATGTTGGTGTGGGATGAGGAAAAAGTTCTGGAAATGGATAGTGGTGATGGTAGCATACCAATGTGCATGTACTTAGGGACATTGAACTCTACACTTAAAAATGGAAAAGATGGAAAATTTTATGTATGTTTTGCCACAATTAAGAAATATATTAAAAGCAACAATTATGTCTAACTTTGTGGATATAAATCAAGGTGCAAGTAAAGAAAATAAATAATAACGTCAGACAGATAAGTGTTATCAGACTGTAGAGTTTTAATAATTTTGTACTGTCAGTGTTTGAGTACATTAATTAATATTAATATTTGAGTTTTTCAGATATCTATATTAAACACTAAATATTAGCCACTAAAAGTATACATCAATATTTGACTTAGAAATGAGATAAAGGGAGAATAATACAATAAAGAGTTAGATTAAAAGTATAAAATCACACTACAGAAATAAATGTAACTACATTATAGTCTCATGTATACATAGAGTAACATTGCAAGTTATATTACAAAGATTGCAAAATGGATCAAACAACAACAACAAGAATTACCTATAAGGTAGTTCCAGTAGCACATGAAAAATAAGGAAAGTGGGCACCAGCCCTGTGGCCTGGTGGTCATGTTGTGCATGCTCCCCTTTAGTGTCCCAGATTCATGGGTTTGGATCCCTTGTGCAGACCTACACCACTGGTCAAGTCACACTGTGGTGGTGACCTACATACAAAATGGAGGAAGTCTGGCATGGATGCTAGCTCAGGGCTAATCTTCCTCAAGCAAAAAACAAAAAAAAGAGGAAGATTGGTGACAGATATTAGCTCAGAGTGAATCTTCCTCCCTGAAAAAAGCCATAATGAAAATAAAGAAAGAAATGATAAAAGTTTAAAGGAGGGAAAACTGATGTTAACCAGAATCCTATAAAAAATTGAAGCATTCAGGGGCCAGCATGGTAGCGTAGTGGGTAAGTTCACACACTCTGCTTCAGTGGGCCAGGGTTCTCAGGTTCAGATTGTGGGCATAGACCTACACACTGCTCATCAAGCTGTGCCGAAGCAGCAACTCACATACAAAAAATAGAGGAAGATTGGCACAGATGTTAGCTCAGGGCCAATCTTCCTCACAAAAAAAAAGGAAAATAGAAGTATTCAAAATGATATTAAACAAATAAATCTTTTAAAAAGGTAATATTAGGGAAAAAGCTATTTACTATACAAAGACCAAAAGAATTACTCACTAGTAGTCCAGAACTATTACAAATGTGTGTAACATAACTACACAGTCTCAGAAATTAAAGGAAAAACAGAACTAAAAGGAGACACTAAAATCTCATAAATGTATTGGAATCACGCCAATCTCAGCAATGAATAAATTGTCAGAAAATAATTAATATATTGTGCTGCATTTATGTAATGAACATGTATAATAGCTTTTGATCAAATTTAGCAAATATTCTTTTCAAAGACCAATGGAACAATTATGAAAAGAGACCCTTTACCCTGCCACAAGGCAATTCTCAAATCTCCAACAAAATAATTATATTACTAAGCATGGTTTTCCTAGTTTTAAATAAAGTGAATAGAAATCAAAACCACAATAATGCTCACCAAAGTTCTAAATAAATTTGGTTAAAAGAGGAAATCATAAGATATATTCATTAATATTTATAACGTTCAATTTCTTGTGGCCTTGTCAAGTGCCAAGTATTGTTAAAAGTCTTTTAAATTTATCATCATATTTGATCTTCATAACCGTGAATTACATTATAATTATATCGAAGGACACAAAGTTGCTAGGATTTGGAATTGACTCTACAGCACTAAGAAAAAAAGCAAACAAAAACCCCACATCAATGGTAAAATAACCAATAGGGAAATAAAAAGGTATAGACAACTTGAGTAGAAATAACCCTGAATGTTTAATGCAAATATATCTAATTTAATTAGAGTTAAAGAAAAAGCAAGCATTATATTTAGTGATGGAACATACATAGACATTTTCCCCAATTATTGAGTGCTACTCATGTGCCTGGCACTATTATAGCTGTTTTACATTCATTATCACATGTGGTACTCATAACCCCGTAAACAACCTTAGGATATTTTGGGCTGTTGGCAAGAGGAAATAGAAAAAAACCTCAAACTGGCATAAACGAGAAGAAAATTCATTTACTCACAAATGTGAAAGTTCAGAGGTTTCAGATTTGGCTTACCCAGGCTCTCAGCTCTATTTACAGGTCAATGTATTTTGTCCTTCTCCACATGTCAGCTTGGTATGAAAATATCTGCAGCTGACCCCAGCATCACATCTCCTAACAACGTCAGGAGGAGGAAAGCGAAATAGGCTTGGAGAGCTTTCCAAGTGCTCGGAGGGACTTTCTTACTGGGGAACACCCAGCAATCTTCTCATCAGGATAATTTGGCCAAAGCTGCATTAGATGCTCAGTCCTCAACTAATCACTAACAAGGGAGACAGAACTATCCTTAAACCAATAAACTCTATCCCTTGAGAATGGCAAGCAGCAAGCTCCCCTGATTGGCCATGGTCCCTGAAGACGCAAACAAGAGTTTGGTTAGAAAAGTGGTGACAGTGAATGGATGCTATGTAGGCATTCAAAACTGTCTTCTATAGGCATGTTTTGTTACTATTACATTTTATAAATGAGCCTTACAATCTTGTTTAGGGTCATTCCCTTTATTGATGGGACTGAGTTTTGAAACCCAGTCTGCTAACACTAAAACTTCCCTCTTCATCACGTAAACAAATACTATTTTCAAATCACCATTCTGTCCACATAGAAGTGCTGATGAAGTCTTACAGCTATCTGAGGGCTAATGTTGAAGTTGTATTCTACATAATTTCTTTTTGTCTCTGGCTCATTCCTAGGATTCAGGCTGTCTGCGAATTTCTGCAGTTATCGTTAAACAGTATATCTCAAACAGAAACTTAAAATTCTTACTATGAACAGGTTTGTGCTGCGGCTGCTCTTCTGACACTATGACAAAGCCTCAACTTTTCTCTTTGTTCCCTTGTTCCTGGTGTAATAACATGCCATGCTCAGTTTCCCGTGGGATTTCTATTGTACCATCTCTTTGGCAACTTCTATCAAGGTTCCCTGCGATGTTTTTATTGCTTGCATCAGTGAAGAAAATGTAGATCTCCTGGTCATGTAGAGTAGAGGCCTCAAAGGCACGTCGCTATGGACTGAATGTTGGTGTCCCCTGGAATTCATATGTTGAAATCCCAATGCACAATGTGATAGCATTTTTATTAATACCTTCTTGAAAAACCAACCTCCCCTTTAATATATGAAATCCAAGTCTGA